CATAATAAAATAATATATAATAATAATATATAATATATATAATAAAAATTAAAGTGTTCGACAAACGCTCTACTTACGCAGCAACTGTGCATCATAAATAGAAGGATTTGTTCTTGAGCGCTGTCTCAAAATACAGAAGCATTTTGAATATAAATCCAACACTCGGGGTACAGTACACATTGCTACCGAACCTTGTGTGACCATGATAAAATGTTGCCACAGCATAATATTCCCCGAATCTTTATTAACTAACACCTTTAATTGATTTGATAGTTCATCAGATGGTGTCAATTCTGTCATAAAATGTAACTTTAATTTTAACAATTCCTTGGAATCTGTATTTTTCTCAAGCGCTTTTTCAACAATAGATAACTTTTTTAATACTGTGGATCGATGCATATCTTTAGTTAATTGATGTTTTTGATAATAAGCCAGAGTATCCTGTAACATTTATATTAAAATATTGTTACATAGTTTAACTTTGTATCACATATATTAAAACATGACTATTTGTAATCAAAATATACAAGAAATATTTCATTAAATACCTGAAAGTAAATATATTGCAGCCAAAGTTCAACATTATGTGGATTTTCCGTTAGTTGTTCATTAAATTCTCGAGTTTTACATTTTTGCTCCTCTTCCAAGTTCTTATACCAAAAAGACATACTTTCATTTGCTTCATCTTGCTTCATTGAAGCCTCTTTTTCATTTGTCTTCTTGATAACTGTATCTTTTTTCTTCTCTGTTTCTGCAGAGTCAATATTTTTAACATAATACCTATGAAACATGTCTTTCTTTGATTGTTTATTCTTAACATAACCGAGAGATTTTTCACTAATATCATAATATGGTCTCGCCCTGGGGCAATATGTATTTATGTTATTGTTCCCTTTATCTCTATGCCTATCTTCAAAGTATACATTCTTGACATCCACCTCATAATCTGGTTTATATCGTTTACTATCGTGCGTACGTCTTTTCCTATCTGTTCTTTGACTTTTATCGATTTTTTGTTTTGCATGTACTTTTGTATCTCGAGAAATTGGTTCAGATAGTACTTGCTTTTCTGTATCAAGCAAAGATTCATGTAAAGACTCATCTGATGAAGAATATAGATCAGGAGGTTCTGTTTTAATTGGAATTTGTGTTTGAAAACTCGAGTTTGACAACCACTCGGTGGAAACATCTGAAATTAAAGCATACAATACAAATATCCAAAAAATATACTAATTTTGAAGCGGAAAATAACGAAAAAATAATAATATATTTTCAATTTAATTATCTTCACAATGTAAACATTGATCAAAAGTTGAAATAATTACCTATTTCACCACTGCTTATACATTCAGTTTTATCGTTTGAATAAGCAGGAAAAAGAGACATTTCTTCTTCTTTTACTTTTCTTCTTATTCTTTTAAGCGGCACACAAATATTAAGTTTTCTTTCTCAATCTTTTCTTTGTAACCTCTATTCTCAACAGTCAATTTACGATTTTCGAAGATCAGCAATCACGATTATTAAACAGAAAAAAGTATTATACTGATAATCGATAAGAGCAATTCTTCTTTCAGTAGGTAATTATGATCTCTTCTATTATCAACCGTACTTAGTTTGATCACTGACGAGATATTATTAAAGACCGTCAACTCTGGGCAAATTTTCGGCGATATAAAAAGGGCTGGGGACTTGGAATAATTGAAGAATGCTGACATTATCGACAATTGATATAAATTTGCTATTATTAACATAAATATTTGACTTATGCATTATTAAATTTATGATTTTTTATTATATAAATGTTCCATAAATAAATGTGCATACTTGTAAAGCTATAATATCCTATATATTGCAGAAAAATTATAATTTTTTCTCTGCAATTATTATCTCTGTTGATAATCAAATTTTGATGATAACTGAATCATAATTAAAAAAAAATCGAGTATTATTGAGTTCTAAATGCATCTATTAAACTAATAAATCATAAACTAATAAATCATAAAAATTATCACAATATTATCAGTTTTTAACTCTTTTGTCCATATTCATAGTCAGATCTACTTAAGACTTCCTTAAATTTATCTTTAGATGCTCAGCAGCCAATGAAATAATTCGTACAGTATCTGAAGATAAATTTAAGGAAGCCTTAAATATAAGGCCTGACTATGAATACGGGCATTAATCATTTCAATATTCTCAAGAACGTGAACTTCAGTAAGGACATTAATCTTTAATAGTATCTCGTCGATGGTTTGATCCGGCTGTTTCTTGCTTCAATCACTACGAGGCAGTATTGTTGTAAAGCAAACAGATCGAACAGCTGTTTCGCGATTATTGCCTCTTTCTACCAATATTTTATCAATATAGTGTAATTTTAATCTCGGCTCAACAAATTCTTCATCTCTTTTTAGTTCTAAGAATTAGAAAAAGATGGAGAGAAAGTTGAGATAGTAATCTACATTGTAAAAGGATGGGTACACATGCATCATATGTGTCACATATGTGAGCCACGTGAGATATCAGGTGATCCGTATGACAGATGATTGACAAATGGCTGATGAGAGTAGAAAAAGGAGAGCGAAGAATTACAAAGTATGTTGTTGGGAGCGCGCAATTTAACTACGTTAATGCTAAATGACGTAGTGTTCTCTCAGATAAAAATGAATGACAGCGCTAGATAAAGAGCACTGTCATGAATTCGTAAACGCCTATATTACATAATTGTTTTTTTTCGCTCCAAGGCCGAAAAATAAATAATGTAGAGAAGGAAGCATTAAGCATAATCAAGGATACATCGATTAGTGGAGTGTGGACAGGCATAATAATTTCAAGGAGAGATTGAAGGCACAATTTCCAGTGATAGCAACACTATAAACTCCTCTCTATCAATCAGTGAGTGGATGACATAACGTTTCTATTTTTCTCTTTGGAGTTTTGTCTTTGAAGTCTGTTGATCGTACAAATGTTTCGAAGATGCAATCTTGTCAACCAGCTTCGCTGTGTCGCGAGAGCATCGACGGAAGCTGCTGCAGTCGAGGAGACGCCATCTCGGGTAAGTGCCATCATCGTCGCATCTGTCAGAGCGCGGTCTATTTTTAAGATTTGACATTTCTAAAAATGTTCGTCATTGATTTAACGAATATCTTGTTTATTACAGTTGCAGCAGCTCCGAGCGAAATTACGGGAGGATGAGCATGAAATACTCACAGATACATTCGGGCGCAAACACACATATCTCAGAATTTCTCTCACAGAGCGTTGCAACCTTCGCTGTGAGTCCTTTTAAAATTGTTTAAAATATTACAGTATTAAAGTTCTCTTGAATTTGACGAATGTCACTTAACACAAAATATCATGTTTTTTAATATTACAGGTACATATTGTATGCCTGCAGAAGGTGTGAAATTAACTAAGAAGGAAGGTATTCTGAAAACAGATGAAATAATACAAATAGCTGATCTTTTTGTCAAAGAAGGAGTGCGCAAAATACGTTTGACCGGCGGCGAACCCACAATTCGTAAAGATATCATTGACATCATTGGTAAAGTTTTCTTTTTCAATGGAGATGTGCTTAATTAATTTAATATTGTGAGTCTAATTCAAAATTTATTTATATATAATTTTAGGACAACTAAAGCAATTGAGAGATTTGGATCAGGTTGCGATTACAACTAATGGATTAACTCTAACGCGTCAATTGCCAGCTCTTCAAAAAGCAGGATTAGATGCACTGAATATATCGCTAGATACTCTGAAAGAGGAGCGCTTTGAATTGTTTACTCGCAGAAGAGGTTGGGCAAAAGTTATGGCTTCCATAGATCTTGCTGTTCAGCTTGGCTATAAACCTGTGAAAGTAATTTCATTAAAAAGCTACATAAATTTTAAGCATAAATTGGTGTATACAATATTTAATCAATGTGTTTGTATGGTTAGATCAACTGCGTGATGATGCGAGGTCGCAACGATGATGAAATAATTGATTTCATTGATTTCACAAGAGACCGGCCTGTCGATGTCCGTTTTATAGAATATATGCCGTTTCAAGGAAACCAGTGGAAAGAAAATAAAATGATTTCTTTCAACGAAATGAAAGCAATAATCCGAGAGAAATATTCCGATTTCCAAGCTCTGCCAAATCAGCCTAATAATACATCCAAGGTTTGTTTTTTCTAATTGCTAATACTTTATTTGATAATTGAATTAATTGAAATTATATTGTACATAATGTTCTCTCGGCAGGCCTATCATGTGCCAGGATTCATAGGGCAGGTTGGATTCATTACATCCATGAGTCAACACTTTTGTGATTCGTGTAATCGCATAAGAATAACAGCAGATGGAAATTTGAAAGTGTGTCTATTTGAAGGAAAAGGCGAAGTCTCACTTCGAGACGCTTTGCGAAGTGGAATTTCGGAAAATGCGCTTAAGAATTTGATAAGAAGAGCAATATCTCGAAAAAAGAAGCAACACGCAGGTATGCAAGCATATGTATCAATCAAAACAGAAAGAACGCGCGGTACTTAATAATAAAACTTTAATTCTTTTATTAAAAAATCTTA